AAGATAGAATTAACAACGGACAGTACAGTCTCAAGTCAGTCTCTTAATTTGGAATAGGGAGAGGTGAGAAGATAGGAAGAGCATGGAAGTGCCTTGTGATCCTAGACTACATGGCTGTGTGCTTCTATTGATGCATACAGTGTAGGGAGACACCTTTTTTAGTCCTTGCATGCAAGGGTGGCTCCATAGGATGCTGCAAGAGAAAGGAGCCACCGAGAAACAGGAAACCTGGGATAGCAGTCATGGCATCAGCCTAAACTGCAACATTGGCAAGGATTAAAATATAAAAACATATGCAGTAAGATTTAACCAGCAGATGAAAATTCTTAAAAAAACTGAGGGTTTAATATCACCATAATAGCATCATGCTAAGGAAGAACTTGGAAGACTCCAACAAATCATTTTTAGTAAGCTGGCCTTTACAAATATTTTAATTTTAATATGTGCCATGAATCATGATCTATAAATATCAGGATTTCTTCTCACGTACGGTGTTCTCCCTTGTGGAATACTTGTTTTGCATCCTTTGGAAGACCACCTGGGAGGGAAACTAAACACAGCTGCCGGAGGATCATTTTTTTTTTTTTAATGTGTTATATAATATAAGATAGAACTTAAACTGATTGTAAGACAATAATGAAATGAAACCTAAGCACGGTGCTTGAAGAGAACCAGTCACCATTCCATTTCTGACTAGATAAACATACTGAGAAAAGGTTTTTGCCTACCTATGGGTTAGGCTGGGTTTTTTTTTTTTTTTTTAATATCGCTCCCCCACCTTGCTGGAAATAGGCTTTATTTTTTCAGGCACCTCCGACACTTCTGGGAGTGTCAAATACTGTTTGTTCCACAGTTATCCTTGGCCCCTGACATCGACAAAGGTCCTGTCAGTGGCCAGGGAATCTGTACTGACAGTCTTTGCAGATCGTTTAAGGATTTCCTAACTGCTGCCAGGCCCTTGCTGATGCTAGTGGGACACTCCTGGAAGTGAGGAGAAATAATAAACCACACGTCTGCAAAAAGAGTACCTGTCACTCCCTATATATTGTCATGTAGAGGGCTTGCCACTCCCCCCTGTGATCATAGTTAGAGATGAGCGAAGTATTCAAAAATTCGATTCGACTGATTCGGCGAATTCGTGGAAAAATTTCGATTTGAGTCGAATATATTCGCTGCGAATTTAACTTATAAAAGGGTGTTTCTAGGCTTCAGAGAGCCTTTATATTAGTGCAGAGAACACTGTACCTTTAATTTAAATGCCCTTGGAGTCTGCTGGGGAAGAGAAATAATACTGACAGTCAGTATGACATGCAGATGAGTGCCGTCGATCTTAGAATCACCGCACACTTCACTCATTTGGGCAGTCATGGGGCCAAAACCAGAGTGTGGAGCCACAGTGTGGCGGTGGAGGCAGCAGCAATGGGAGGCCATACAGCACCCAATGACAAAAATGGAAACCACCAGCAGTGTGAGGAGACCTGAAAGTGGCACATGGCAGAGTGTGGCGATGGAGACAGCAGCAATGGGAGGCCGTACAGGGACCCATGACACACTCTGGACCTGGCAGCAGCATGAGGAGGCGGTACAGGGGCCCATGACAGATTACGGGCCTGGCAGCAGCATGAGGAGTTGGTACGGGGGCCCATGGCAGATTACGGGCCTGGCAGCAGCAATGGGAGGCCGTACAGGGACCCATGACACACTCTGGACCTGGCAGCAGCATGAGGAGGCGGTACAGGGGCGCATGACAGATTACGAGCCTGGCAGCAGCAACTTGGACAGCAGGACGTTCAGCTTCTGCACCGTCGGGTGCGTGCTCGCAAACTGTTGTCTCTTGGAAACGGATTCCAAGAAAGACTGCTGACGGAATCCGTGAAGAGGAGTAGCAGGAGAAGGAGCATCTGAACGAGCGGAATATTCCAACAAGCGACAACAGGGGCCCATGACAGATTACGGGCCTGGCAGCAGCATGAGGAGTCGGTACGGGGCCCATGGCAGATTACGGGCCTGGCAGCAGCAATGGGAGGCCCGTAATCTGCCAGCACCCTATGACAAAAAATGGAACACACCAGCAGTGTGTGAGGAGACCTGAAAGTGGCAAATGGCAGAGTGTGGCGATGGAGACAGCAGCAATGGGAGGCCGTACAGGGACCCATGAGAGACTCTGGACCTGGCAGCAGCATGAGGAGGCGGTACAGGGGCCCATGGCAGATAAGGGGCCTGGCAGCAGCTATGGGAGGCCCGTAATCTGCCAGCACCCTATGACAAAAAATAGAACACACCAGCAGTGTGTGAGGAGACCTGAAAGTGGCACATGGCATGAGACACTGTGGACCTGGCAGCAGCATGAGGAGGCGGTACAGGGGCCCATGGCAGATTAGGGGCCTGGCAGCAGCTATGGGAGGCCCGTAATCTGCCAGCACCCTATGACAAAAAATGGAACACACCAGCAGTGTGTGAGGAGACCTGAAAGTGGCACATGGCAGAGTGTCGCGATGGAGACAGCAGCAATGGGAGGCCGTACAGGGACCCATGAGACACTGTGGACCTGGCAGCAGCATGAGGAGGCGGTATAGGGGCCCATGGCAGATTAGGGGCCTGGCAGCAGCAATGGGAGGCCCGTAATCTGCCAGCACCCTATGACAAAAAATGGAACACACCAGCAGTGTGAGGAGACCTGAAAGTGGCACATGGCAGGGGCATGATTCATGGCGGATTTAGTCAGTTGTCAGGAACTGGTGGTTTGAAATCCAGACTAATCCACGCCTGATTCATTTTCACAAACGTGAGTCTCTCCACACTTTGGGTGGACAGTCGTGTCCTCCGCGGAGTTACAATACCTCCTGCCGCACTAAACACGTGCTCCGATGCCACGCTACTGGCCGGGCATGACAGCCTTTCAAGGGCAAATTCAGCTAGTTGGGGCCAAAGGTCAAGTTTCGTTGCCCAGTAGTCAAGGGGATTGTCTACCTCGGTTGGAAGGGTGCTGTCCAAGTAGGCCCAAGCCTGTTGTTTGAGGTCCTGCTCCAGGTCCACCTGATGCTGCTGCTGCTGCGGCTGGTTACTAGTTTCCTCACTGCGCTGGTGAAGAAAGCTACTCATCATCGACTGCAGACTGAGGCAGCCGCTGCTGGTGGAGCTGCCACTGCTCCTACCACCCCACCCCTCCTTTGCTGCCATGGCAGCGGAACGCGAGCGCACAGGGCCCACAGTGTCTGAGGATGGACGTTGGCGCACAAAGGCAGAGACCAACTGACTACATAGGTGGTTTTTATAGTACGTTATTTTGGCCTCCCTCTCAGCAGGTGTGAAAAAGGCCACCATTTTTGAACGGTAGCGAGGGTCCAACAAGATGGACAGCCAAAAGTCATCCCTCTGTCTGATGGTTATTATTCGGCTGTCGCTATGCAAGCAACCGAGCATGCTATGGGCCATTTGTGCCAAGGAATGCGAGGGACTCCCTGCCTCCATCTCCACAGCATACTGCCACGGTGCGTCTGGGTCCTCTGTCTCCTCCTCCTCCTCCTCTACCAGATGCTCCTGCTCCTCCACTCCTGTCCGCTGAGTGGAAAAACCACCCATTTCACTCAATAATTCCTGAGCACAAATGTCCTCCTCTACCTCCTCCACTTCTTCCTGTTCTGCCCCCACAGGGGTCATGTGGCGTTGAGATCTGTGCGCCACGTCTACCGCACCCTGACCAGCCATTGTTAACAGCATTTGTTCCAGGACGTGCAACAGAGGAATGACGTCGTTCATCCCATAGTCCTGCCGACTCACGAATAGCGTGGCCTCCTCAAAGGGCCTGAGCAAGCGGCAGGTGTCACGCATGAGCTGCCAATGGCTGACATCGAAGTTACACAGGGGAGTACCTTTATCCGCTTGTAACATCATGAAATCGGTGATGGCCTTTCGCTGTTCGTAAAGGCGGTCTACAATGTGTAGGGTTGAATTCCACCTTGTTGCAACGTCGCAGATCAGGCGATGCTGTGGAATTCCGTTCTGCCGCTGCAGCTCAAGGAGGGTGTGCTTTGCGGTGTAGGAATGGCTGAAATGCATGCAAGGTTTACGTGACATTTTAAGGATGTCTTGCAGTGGGATGGAGGATTTTAGGAACCGCTTGACAACCAGATTGAACACGTGAGAGCCATGCATGGCGCATGGCACAACCTTCCTTGACGCAGAGCAGACACCATGTTCTTTCCGTTGTCGGTCAACATGGTTCCGATTTTCAGTTTGCGCGGAGACAGCCATCTGTCGATTTCTCTGTTCATTACACTGAGAAGTTCCTCCCCTGTGTGACTACGTTCGCCTGGACCTGGCAGCAGCATGAGGAGGCGGTACAGGGGCCCATGGCAGATTAGGGGCCTGGCAGCAGCTATGGGAGGCCCGTAATCTGCCAGCACCCTATGACAAAAAATGGAACACACCAGCAGTGTGTGAGGAGACCTGAAAGTGGCACATGGCAGAGTGTGGCGATGGAGACAGCAGCAATGGGAGGCCGTACAGGGACCCATGAGAGACTCTGGACTTCGCAGCAGCATGAGGAGGCGGTATAGGGGCCCATGGCAGATTAGGGGCCTGGCAGCAGCTATGGGAGGCCCGTAATCTGCCAGCACCCTATGACAAAAAATTGAACACACCAGCAGTGTGAGGAGACCTGAAAGTGGCACATGGCATGAGACACTGTGGACCTGGCAGCAGCATGAGGAGGCGGTACAGGGGCCCATGGCAGATTAGGGGCCTGGCAGCAGCTATGGGAGGCCCATAATCTGCCAGCACCCTATGACAAAAAATGGAACACACCAGCAGTGTGTGAAGAGACCTGAAAGTGGCACATGGCAGAGTGTGGCGATGGAGACAGCAGCAATGGGAGGCCGTACAGGGACCCATGAGAGACTCTGGACCTGGCAGCAGCATGAGGAGGCGGTATAGGGGCCCATGGCAGATTAGGGGCCTGGCAGCAGCTATGGGAGGCCCGTAATCTGCCAGCACCCTATGTCAAAAATGGAACACACCAGCAGTGTGTGAAGAGACCTGAAAGTGGCACATGGCAGAGTGTGGCGATGGAGACAGCAGCAATGGGAGGCCGTACAGGGACCCATGAGAGACTCTGGACCTGGCAGCAGCATGAGGAGGCAGTATAGGGGCCCATGGCAGATTAGGGGCCTGGCAGCAGCTATGGGAGGCCCGTAATCTGCCAGCACCCTATGACAAAAAATGGAACACACCAGCAGTGTGAGGAGACCTGTAAGTGGCACATGGCATGAGACACTGTGGACCTGGCAGCAGCATGAGGAGGCGGTACAGGGGCCCATGGCAGATTAGGGGCTTGGCAGCAGCTATGGGAGGCCCGTAATCTGCCAGCACCCTATGACAAAAAATGGAACACACCAGCAGTGTGTGAGGAGACCTGAAAGTGGCACATGGCAGAGTGTGGCGATGGAGACAGCAGCAATGGGAGGCCGTACAGGGACCCATGAGAGACTCTGGACCTGGCAGCAGCATGAGGAGGCGGGTATAGGGGCCCATGGCAGATTAGGGGCCTGGCAGCAGCTATGGGAGGCCCGTAATCTTCCAGCACCCTATGACAAAAAATTGAACACACCAGCAGTGTGAGGAGACCTGAAAGTGGCACATGGCATGAGACACTGTGGACCTGGCAGCAGCATGAGGAGACGGTACAGGGGCCCATGGCAGATTAGGGGCCTGGCAGCAGCTATGGGAGGCCCGTAATCTGCCAGCACCCTATGACAAAAAATGGAACACACCAGCAGTGTGTGAGGAGACCTGAAAGTGGCACATGGCAGAGTGTGGCGATGGAGACAGCAGCAATGGGAGGCCGTACAGGGACCCATGAGAGACTCTGGACCTGGCAGCAGCATGAGGAGGCGATATAGGGGCCCTTGGCAGATTAGGGGCCTGGCAGCAGCTATGGGAGGCCCGTAATCTGCCAGCACCCTATGACAAAAAATGGAACACACCAGCAGTGTGTGAGGAGACCTGAAAGTGGCACATGGCAGAGTGTGGCGATGGAGACAACCCACCGACTGTTTTGCTCGCTGCCAAGCTGCCACCCTCTTCTCCTGATGATGCGGAAGCAATAGCCTGATGACGACGAGGCTGCCAAGTGCGATCAGCCTCATCATCATCAATTAGGGTCTCCGCCTCACTACTAGCCCCCTCGGCTGCGTGTGGGTCAGGAGACAGACCTGTCTCTAGACTGGCTACCGAGCCACTCTCCTCGCCACTACTTCTTCGCCTGGCTGCTGAAGAGGCGGATGTCTCCCCCCATTCCTGACCGCCCTCTGTTAGCTCTTCCTCACTGTACTGGATGACACCGGGAGCACTGGCCTCTGGCTGCGAATAGTGCTGCCTCGACCCCTTCCTCTGCTGCCACGTCTGCTCGCTCCTAAAACATTGCCTCCTCTGCCACTGCTCTGCATGTTGTCTGACATACTCTTTAATTCAACGATTCTGTGTCCCTGAGTAACAATTCTGTGTCTGTCCCTGAGTAACAATTCTGTGTCTGTCCCTGAGTAACAATTCTGTGTCCCTAAGTAACGATTCTGTGGCCCTAAGTAACGTTTCTGTGGCCCTAAGTAACGTTTCTGTGGCCCTAAGTAACGTTTCTGTGGCCCTAAGTAACGATTCTGTGGCCCTCAGTAACAATTCTGTATCCCTCAGTAACAATTCTGTCTGTCCCTGAGTAACGTTTCTGTGGCCCTAACTAACGATTCTGTGGCCCTAAGTAACGATTCTGTGGCCCTAACTAACGTTTCTCTGTCCCTAACTCTCTCCCTGAATACAGCCAGGTCTGCCTCTGTTGAATGACTGGAGGCAAATGGAGAATTCTAAAATGGCCGCCATTTATAGCTCGACCATTACACTGTGCTGGCTGGCTGGCTGCTGATTGGCTAATGCGATCACATGTCATGAATGAATGCATTATGGGTCAGCGCGCCTTGTCTGCGCGCCTTCCCAGACATCCCCGCTCCGTCGCCGCACATGTCGCCGCCATTTTAGGAACAATTTCGATTCGCGCATCCGAAGTCTGCTTATTTTCGGATTCGACGCGAATCGAAATTTTCCTAATATTCGAAACGAATTCCACTTCGCCTACTTCGATTCGCTCATCTCTAATCATAGTAAAGATACATAATATGTCAGGAACAAAAATATATATATTTCATCACAATGCATACACATTTATCATGTTTTATCCGATTGCAAAACATTTAAAGTAAATGCTTTTTAACCACTTCAGTCTTGGCTCGTGACATTCCTTCGTTACCAGTTTCTTTTTCATTTTACGTGCTGTGTAATCTATCACTGGACTCAAATGAGCAGCTGTCCAAGGGTCTAAAAATGGTACTTCAGAATTAAGTGGCCGCCAGTTCAATGTTCAAAGATCTATGGTGCTAGATAAGTGCTTAATCTGCCAAAACTCCAGTGTGCTCCTAACTTATCAGCCCTGTCTGCTGGACTACAGAATTCCACCTATTCTCCATACTTTTCTTTTCCCTTCCACATGTATACACTAATTTCTTTCCCATCAAAACAATGCTAATGCCTTGATTCTCAAAGCATAAAATCCCAAAACATCTAATCCGTGAGAAAATGAACAAGGTAAGCAGTCTTCATTACTCAGACTCCCACCACACAACTTAACAACTTATGCAACTTAACTCAGGAAATCTTAAGTTTGTTGGCAGTCTTTTGGGAAATGTAGCTCTGGGTTGCATCCCTACCTTGGCAGGAACTGACCGCTCAGCAGCTACTGTATCCCTGCAAGAGATATATAACCCTGATGATGATGTTATTGGGAGTGATAAAAACTGTTCATCACTAGAAAAGAGAAATGCTCTAGAGGGGGAGTGGGAGGTTTTGATTCAAATTTGGATTGTGTCAGGACATATATAGTGTCAGGAGTATATACAGAGGGCCCTTGACGTGGGCAGTGCGGCTTACGCATATATTTGCAAATGTGTGCTAACAAAACCCGCTGTTTTTAACAAAAACTGTTAGACAGGGCAATTCGGTTGTTTTGCAGGATGGCTGGTAAGTGTTGTTGGGAAATCTTTTGTTTGTTTGCAGTTTTCGTTGTCCTTCCATGTGCACCTTGCTGCAAGGGCTAGTTATAGTTTGGGGTGGTTGCCACTTTTTTTTTATTTTTGTACATTTGGTTGAATTGGGTGCAGGGACGCACTGCATGCCTTCGATGCCATTGTGTTATTGCTGGGCGTCATATGCATCCCTGTACCTTTTTAAGGAGGGTTTATCCCCCTCCAGGCACACTTGCCCTCAATGTAAATAATTGGCGCTAAGAGAAGGCAATGGCACAGTGACACTGCAACAAAAGTATTAATGGTTAAAAATATGAAATAAAAACAAGTCCGTATAGTCCATAGTTTTAAGCACTAACAGTAGCAGCTCCCCATAGGGTGAAGCAGGCTCTGTAGAAATATAAGAAGACACAAGGGGCGCCAACCTAGGTGCAGTATGTATTAAATGTTTATTTGGAATATAGCCAAATAGCTACTCAAGTAAAAAAGGGTATACAGGCATTGGATCATATCCTCAAGAGGGCCGGTGCAAAGGCCGGTAGTATTAGTATCTGGTGAAGCCCAGGTCCTGGCAGTGGGATTTGGAGTAAGCTGTCAGCGAGGGACACCATGACCAGCGCCGTAACCAGCGTGGAATGAACAGAAGTCTGGACCAAGAGGGCAACCAATGGGGATGCGAGGACAGGTCAGATGATGCAACACAATATAAATATATTTTCTTTTGTCAATTACATCCACTTTTCTGTTATACTTTTTATTTCATGTTTATTGTTATTATACATACATATTTTTATTGCACTGTTCACCTAATTGTTACAACAGACGCTAGCAATAATCACATGTAAAATACGGCACACTGGTTGTATGCAAGTTGATCGATCAATCAACTTGGGTACATTCAGCCTTTCCATACATGATTCAAATCTCAGCCAGTTCCTGCTGAACCAGCTGAGATTACAGCTGTCTGTGGCTGACTTATGTCTTTGTATCCCTGAAACAATTTTTTAAGGTTATTTTTTTGGCCTGATTATCTTCTCAGCAGGACTTTCAGGATCTTCCTAAAAAATTCTGCATAATTTTGCAGAGATTTACAAACTTTTAAACAGTTCAGCCAAACCACAACTGATTTATTTAAAGTTATTGCCAATGGAAGTGTTTTTTTAATTGAAGTCTGTGTGTCCATTGAAGATCCTTTCCCTCATTTCCCGGTACCAGTAGGATAGAACGTTTGTTGGAAATCTAATTTCAGCAACTGAAACCTGCAGCTGTGGTGGAGAAGAGAAGCACCTATAATGTCTGCTATAGAATTCTAGCTAAATTCACCAGGAAAATTTCAAGATTGTTTGGAGGCTGGAAGGGCCTCCCATTTTTTAGTTTGTGCTGCTAAACTCAAGTGGAAAAAAGCTGCACACAAACTTAAAGTGGAGTTCTACACACCCTGTCAAAAAATAAAAACTGTAGCTGCTGACTTTTAAAAAACAGCCACTTACCTGTCCCTCGGCCCTGCGGTGTATCCCCCACAGCCCATTTCACTGGCCATCCTGTATTGCAGGAGGCCTGCATCCTCACAGCCGGGTACGCACTGCGCATGGGCAAGTAGCGCTGCGCTTCATAAATGGTTCTGTAGTCTTCTGGGACCTGTCACATTTCCCAAAAGAGTACAGGGAGGGAGGGAGAACACCTTCCGCTTTCAGTCGCCTAGGCAATCGGACCGGAAGTGAGAGCGAGTACCTGTCATATTCGGGTACCCGCCCCCCCCCCCCCCCCGCACCCCAAAGGTGCCAATCCTTAATGCGGAGCAGGGGAGCAGTCCTTAAAACAGAACTTCACCTTTTGGGTGGAGCTCCACTTAAAATATGTTTGAAACCTATTTATTCATAGCCCTGAAGAAGGGGGGCACTTGCAACCCCCCAAAATGCTTGTTTTTCGAGTGAATTGAGATAAAATCTTATTCTGGACATTTTAAGTGGATTTGTGCTTCTATTCTCTACCTTGTCTGTATTTTGAAAAATAGAGCTGCCTGCCAAATCACTCATGAAAACCATGAATATATAGAACATATTGATTAATACAGTGCTTTTCAACTTCGCAGTAATATTGAGCAGTAAAAACCTGATATAGGTATTAACCTTTTTGCCACCCTCAAAACCAAAAAAAAAAAAAAAAAAAGAAAAGATTTGACTGTGATTAAACTTGAAATTCAAATTCCTGGGGCTTAGTTTGAGTGATGAATGCTTGGTATGTTTGTCAGGTTGTAATTGTTGTCTGTGTTCCTGTTTGGTGATTTACCCTCGCTTCCTGTCCTGAGGACACCACGCCACACCCCAACACACAAAGTGTCACTGGGATAGGAATTGAGTGAGGATGCAACCCTGCCAGAGATTCTAATTTTTCCCCTTTCTATCTGAAATATCGAACAAGCACTGCTTGGACTTGACTGTAGTAAGCTAGCTGCCCTTGGAATTAAAGTGTATGTCCAGACATTAACCAACCTTACCCCCAAATCTTCCTCTCATTCCCTTCCTTTCTAGAGCACGTCCCAGCATTATTTTATCTTCTACCTGGTTCATGAGAGCTATTATTATCATGAAACTCCATCATCATTATCATCATCATCATCATCGCAAGCTAAATATTCTTGCAGGAACAGCTGAGATCTCAGTTCTAATTGATGTAAGCACACCCCCAGAACTACATCTTCCAAGAGCCATTTCCTCACACATAGTGTGGGGCATGCGCCTAGAAGGCAGGGCAGCAGCATTGTATGGCATGTGGAGTGGGATGGTGTTGGGCAGAGTTCTGCAGTCCAGCAGGCATGGCTGACAACTCTGGTTTGGATTTCAATACACAAATGGCACTGTGTTGTCAGCTCCAACTGGCAGATATTCAGGTATATATCTACGTTTTTAAATTGTAACTTTTATCAGGATGTTGGTGGGCTTGAGAAATACATGCTACTGAACTGATAAGCATCTAGTGCTTATTTAATGGTGACATGTTCTTTTTAATTAACCGTTGCAACCACACCAACCAGTCAGTTGTAATCTTTTGTTGCCTTGTCTCCTTTAGAATGATATGATTTGATAGCTAATAGTCTTCTATGGGTACCTCTGCACATATCCGTTATCTGTGATTTGGCTTATGCAAGTCGTAGATCAAGAACATGGGGATATGACCTTACACTAACTAGAGGAAAGTTCAAAACTAATCTCAAAGTATTTTTTGTACCGATAGAGTAGTTAATGCTTGGAATAAACTTCCAGGAGAGGTAGTGGGCCAATCAAAATAGCTTCAGACATGCTTGGGACAAGCATAGATCTATACTCGAACAAACAAGCTAACAAACCCCCAAAAAAAAACAAAACAAAAAAAAGGGCGGACTCGATCAACCACATGCTCTTTTTCTGCTGCTACATTTCTATGTTTCTAAAAGTATCCATATACAAAAAACTGAAAATACACTGGGCCCGATTAAATCATGGTTGATGGTCGTAGAAAAATGTGAGGCATCTGATTGCGTTCCATTGCATTCTGCATAAACTATTGTGTTGCAACGATTATTATTAGGCTCAGACAGCATAATGACTATCCTGAGCCACCATCCTCTTGGCTCACCTCAATTGAGGCAAATAATGACACATTTTTTTTCTGAACTATTTGGTGCAGATTGTGAGACTTTTTTGCAAAAAGTTGAGTTTTTTTTTTTTTTAAAGTTGGAGAACCAGTTGCATCTTTTTAACCCCTAAGATTGAATTATCTGGGACAAAATTTAGTTTTGTGTGTGCCAAATATTTGGCACACCAACAGTACTTTATTTGTCCCTCTGTATTTTACGGTTAGTGACCGATATTGTAGGTAGATTAGTTATAACTCTAAGCTACTGTGTAGTCTTAAGACAAATGCACCTGGATTGTATTTGTCAAAACAGTTTTGCTTTTATATATATCAGAGTCAGAGGTGGAATGGTCACCATTGTGTTGAAGTGCCAGCTAGTGGCTTTTAAGGGCAACTCCTAGCAAATTGAGAATTGGTTCCATTTTTTTCTGATCTCTTTTTGAATGTCCCAGCAAGAGGGAGCTTAGAAAGCTTTGCTTGCCTCCCCAGTGTTGGTGGTTTCTCTATAGAAGCCTACAGCGCTGACACAAGCACTTCAGTATCATTTGATCTAAATGTCAGATTCATTAAAATGATAAATGTATATAGCCACAGTGCTCTTGCTTGTTTCATGTCATTTATAGATGTAGACATTTTTGTCCCCTGTTACCAGTTGTGTAATCCAGCATCACTACAATTTTTTTTTCTTCCCTACAGGAACTCCGGTTTGGTTTTATATGCAAATTGCACCAATAAGGAATGAGCACGACAAGGTTGTGTTATTTCTATGTACTTTCAAAGATATAACCTTGTTCAAACAACCCATTGAGGATGAATCAACAAGAGGTAATCGTCTTGCATGTCATTAGTGATGTGTGTGTGTGGCATGCTGTGTTTATATACCAGCTGTATATTATCATCGTGTTAATGTTCTGTAGTATGTTATTAATGGATATTTGGTGAAAACACAACAAGATAACACAGAGTATCAGTAATATAAAGGTATTTAGTGGGATTATAATGAATATAAAATATAAAAATGTGTTTAATACTGAAATTCAACAACAGAAATTCTGTTTTTCAAATCAGAAATGGCTTTATTGAACAAATTGCGGCATTCCAGAGAAGCTAGCATTTTAAAAATGATAGAAACATTTCTAAAGTAATTGCTTTCAGTTACAGTCTCATCATACTAAATAATGACAATCGAAGAGAAAAGTAGATCAAAGAAGCACATTAGATAATTCAGCATGAACATCAACTCTGCCATCCCACTGGGCATTGCAACAATCTCATTTGTATAAGTTCCATTGGACTTGGATCTGGTGTATGGAAAGCCATGGTGGGTGCCCACAGTTTCTCAAGTTTACCTGGACAGCCTCTGTGTTGATATGTGTAGCATTCAAAAAGAAAGGTATTAGCCACAGTATTTACTTATGTCCTGTGAGAGGATGGATCAGGAGATTTACAGTACTGCAGAATTAGTTTACGGACCTGGAAGAGGGCACCAAAGTAATACCTCTCTTGTAACCACCTCACTTAGAATACCCAATAGGGTATTTAAGTCTGAAATTATGTTTAAATGATTAGTATTGTTTAAGACTGTAGTACACTGACTGTACCTTAAACTTTGCCCACATTTTACTCTATATGGCCCAGGAGCCTACCAATTAAGCTGCATGCTCTGACTCATGCTTGAGCTTAGGACCCTGCAGCACCTTTTGCCTTCTTAGTACCTAATAGAGCACTTCAGTGGCTATTAAAAGGAGCCATACTGGATACTGGGATGGTTGGATTGCCAAATCATCCAGTCTGAGTGCAACCCCCTGTCAGCAGGCAGATTAAGGGGATCCAGGACCATATATGTGATTATTTGGGAACAATGTACATGCTGCGAGCACTGTGTTTTTTTTCTGCTGTTGAGCACTTTGTGGTTTGATTAAAAGTTTTTGTTATCCAGTTCCCTTTAGGTTAAGTAATTGTAGCAGAAAGACATGATTCTTGAAGTCCTTTCCTTATAATGGACGTGAATATTCACACAATGTATTCTCTAATCCTTTACGGAGTTAAAAATATTATTTTGCAAATTGGAATAGTTCAGCTTGGTTTGTTTGCCATACATATATTATTGCTTTAGAAGTTGCAAGGGAAAGGGAAGCGGGGGGGGGGTAGATGATGACGGACCATCCTCCATACTTCCCATTAACTTGTTGGGCACAAAGTGTGGGTCATATGTGAGGACTACCCCTGGAGTGGGTTTATCTGGGCTAAGCTAGGCACCTGTAACAGGATCACTCTACTTCACACATTTTGGGTCCCTTTACTCTGTGCCATTTTTACCAATGCCCTGGGACAAGGCTGCTGTGGGGAATACTCAACCTTAAGGCGACCCTACTTTTATAGATGAACATACACGATCTGCAACTTAACTGTTCTCCAGTTAACTCTTGGGTCCCCATATGCACATCTTTTCACTGTAGCTTGCAACTGGGAGGGCTGTGCTGGACAGAGATCAGTCACCAGTCCATTGTTTTTCACTACTCGTAGCAACATGGAACCCTGCCATGCACATAGTGTGCCCTCCAATGTGCTCTAACTGTAGAACTTCCGTATCTCAGTATGGGGGCTTCAGTGATGCAGCTCTGCTCCAGTTACTCAGGGAAAAGAAATGTGGTGTACGAAATGCTGACAACATCTTCCTCACTGCTAGAGGCAGTTCCATCTATAATAGGCACATGTTTACAACAGGCTGCTTGCTGACTGCACCTCCATTGCCCATGGCAACCCCCTGTATTAAACTTGTACTATGATGACTGTAGATTTACTGACTCTTCATACTCCATGTGTTAGTGACTCAAACCTTCAACTATAGGTACTGGTTACTTGCATTGCACTCCTTTTAAAGAACTTCACATAAGGCAAAAGGCTACGTTTTAATGCTTTACTGAATAAAGTGCAAAACAGGACAAAGTCCAGCAAAAGAGCAGTCTTTTTTTCCTAAGTCCCTTATCCTTAATCCTACTCAGCCTATGTGCTGCCCCTGTATACCTGCAAAGGTAGAACCATGCAGATAAAGGTCCATTAGGGGCATTCCCCAGTGGCTGGTGTATTTGGGGCAAACCTCAAGTTGGGTGGCTCTCACATCTTTTGAGTTCCTTAGTGACTGTACAGCTGACATATCAGCAGCAAGGCTCTCAGACTCCCTTGGGGGAACTCTCTTGCAAAGGGGGCAAAGCTCTCCGGCCCCACCCCACTGTCCCTTTATACTCACAGGAGCAGTAGGTTGTACCCAAGGATCCCGCCAAATGAAATAACCCAGGAACTAAGTTAACCCCAGCCCTCCCATCTGGGGCAGCAGCTAACAAGCTAGTTCTAAACCACCTACAAGCTAAGAGTGATTGAGAGTTGATATTCTTGTTGAGGGTCTAAGCTAGTAGTTTTTGAAGAGGAAAGTGTCATTTGGCAATGTATGAAGGTAATTAAATACTCAAAAAAAGAGACAGGAGAAAAAAGCGGAGAATACGGAATGGATTGGCAGGGAGAGGGAACTTGAAGCAGTAGAAGGGGAGATAACGAGTCTATTGGAAATGTTTCTTGTATAGCTATAAGAGCAGTTCATCTGAGTACTCAGGTTGTGAAAACAAGCTGGACCAATTTAAAGTTAGCCATACATGGTTCAAAATTCAGCCGGTTCAGCAGGGACCAGCCAAATTTTGATCCATGCACGGGCAGGCTGGTTGCACTGAAGCTGATAATATCGATCGACTTCTGTACAAGCACCCTGTTGGGCTTTTTCCAGAAAGCACAGATCAGCTTATTTTGATGGTGGGGAATTCCGCCTGCTATCAGAATACAATAACTAAATGCGTGGATGGGGGAATCCGGTAATTTTTTTTTTTCTTTAACCTGCTGGTTGAACAGAGAATATAACTAATGTATGGGTTACCCAGGTGTGCAATTAAGATCATACCTGGAGTTTAACTTAAAAATGGTAGGGAGATGAAATTTCTGAGACATAAACCTTGGAGTGAAGGTGAGGTACAACCTCATAATGAGCTAGTGGGGTGTATGGACATATATTTTTCTATGCAGGCTGCTGTGAGATACCACCAGCAGGGAACTTTGTATGAATTTTTTTAGGTCAAAGCACTGACAGAACTTGTAGCTTTCAAAGTAAAGCTGTCTGTAGATGGACTGAAATTCAGCTGGTTGAATTTCGATTCATATATGGGCAGGCTGGTTGTACAGAAGGCAATCTCTCAAGCGACTGTACAACCAGCTTGTAGTTGGATTTCCGCTCAGTCAGTGCCACCGGCTGTAACTGATGAGTGTATTCTGACAGCAGGACATTCTCCTTGCTGTCAGAGTACAATAGTGCCACAGGAAGGATTCACCTCATCCACCTCAAATGTGCAGATGGGGGAATAGATTAATTTTCTTTTATTCAACCCCAGTACTGTATGTCAGCTTTGTCAGTAATCGAGACCCATCTCCTCCAGAGAGCATATTATATAGATGTTTATTGGTTGATGGGGAGCACATAATTGAGGAGTGGATAAAGGCTATTACACCATGGGAAGTAGTGTTCCTCTCGCACCTATTTTTTAGTGAGTCTCTTTAATATTTTAGCTCTAGTAGTGAAGTAGTGAAATAACTCTTGAGAGGTGATATTTTGTGATTCTCTTAGATGTTAAAATGGTTTAATGCCTTCTAAATATGAAAGCAAGACTACATAGTTGAACTAATGTGTGGCCCACTGTTAAAATAATTAGGGATGAGGTATGGAGCCACACTGAGTTTGAGGCAGATTTTACAGTTTAGCAAAACTCTGAATGTATGGCCAAAAATGTGCACCTGTACCCATAATGCTGTGCATGACCCTTGTCCCCTAGAGCCAAGTTCTGAAGAAGAGTGGAAAAGTTAGCATTCTCACTATAAAAGGGTGGGGAGAGATGCTGATTGTGATATTGCTATACAGTGCTATATTTTTTCAGTGTGGTGAGCTACATTCTCTTGTGTACCACCCTATGTTCATAGTTCCATAGACCTGTCATTCTTGGGACTTTTTTTTTTCTGTGTTGGCAACAAGTGTGCTGGCTTTCTGACACCCCTTTGCAGCTTTTTTTTTCTTTTGTAATTATTCAGGGTTTTTTTTTTTTTTTCTTTGATTTGACCGTATTCAGTAGGTAGTGCCTAGCTTCCCTTGACTTCTCCATCAAAATCAACGGGTCAACTATCAACCCGTCGCCGCAAGCCAAGTTTCTAGGTGTAATCCTAAACTATTCTTTGAGCCCCATATCCAAACATTGTCCAAAGTTTGTTGCCTCAACTTCCGCATCATCTCCAAGATAGGCCCCTTCCTAACCAATGACAGCACAAATCTTCCATCTCACTCTCTGGTCATCTCCTGCCTCAACTACTGCAACTGCCTCCTCACTGGCTTACCTTTACATAAGCTATCCCCCCTCCAGTCTGTCATGAATTCTGCTGCCAGACTCATCCACCTTGCCAACTGTTCATTGTCTGCTACCCCTCTCTGTGAATCACTCCACTGTTTTTCGATTGCCCAACGAATGAAGTTCAAGATACTCACAGAAACTTATAAAGCCATCCACATCTCTGCCCCCAGCTACATCACTAACCTGGTCTCAAAATACCAACCAAACTATTCTCTTTGTTCCTCCCAAGACCTCCTGCTCTCTGGCTCTTTTGTCACCTCCTCCCATGCTCACCTCCAGGACTTCTCCAGAGCCTTTCTCATCCTCTAGAACTCACTACCTCAATGTGTCCGACTATCTCCTACTCTGTCCACTTTTAGATCATTGAAAACTCATCTCTTCAGAGAG